CCACGCACAGTGCCCCACAGCGTTTCCCAGGCTGTCATCTTTAGGGGCACCGACTGTCACTTTGTTCTCGCTCGGAGCATCTGGTGGGTTTGAACCTCCACCTTTTCATCGAACGGCTGGGTGGCTTACCATGTGCACGCAGAGCTCTGGCCAATATCAAGCTCTGGCCCTGCATGCCCATTGCACTTTCCCGAGTCAAGTTCTTTGGCAGATTAAGTGGGAAGTTGTGTGTTCTTTCTCTCTTACCTACCTTCAGGTGTTGTCTCTCTTGGCCTCAGCTTCCCTTTTCCGTGACTCAAGCATAAAGCTAACGATTGATGATGTCTGTCCGCTTGCTTACCCAGAGCAGAGATTTGTCTGTGTTCTGAATCCTGTGCAACCAGAGTAAATGCCACACCGAGTCTCAGGTACATGATCAGACTGAAGATGCTTGGGGGAAGCCAATAAGAGGCCATGTTTCCCCTCCCCTCCTCAGTCCCTGTCACTTCAACGTATTCATTGAAATGTCTCAGGTGGAAAATTAAGGGCTACACTCTGGGTCAGGTGAGTTCACGTGACCTGCCCAGGCTGAGCTTGGCTCTGATCCTTGTGGACACATTCACACTCCTCTCCGATTCCCAAACCGTGATCTATGGAGAAGACGAATCCTTCAGCCTCCCTCAGCCTTTTCTGTGCTCACTGTGGTTCTTCCTGTCCTGCCTGCCTCCATTCCCCTGGGAGTGTGAGGACCCCCTGCGGGGGCACTTGCACCTACTAGCAGTTTATAACCCCAGACATTTGCATTGTCATGCTGGGTGCCTCTTTCTCCAGTGACCTCGCCTTCTTTCCCAGTACACATTCCTAAGGTGGTCTTTCCCCAACTGTGCGTATATGCTCTTTCTTTAAATCTCTGATGAATACTTACCGAATGGAAGTTTGAGCCAAATGGCTGGGTGTGGTTGTCGTCCTCAGTCCTCAGTTATTGTTAGTTATTGCTGCGGCGTCCATGTGGCCAATGTGTGCGAACTGCTTCATAAGGTGTTTGAGGATGTGCCCTTTTTCTTTTTGGACCCATAAAAGAATAAATTAATTTAAAAAAGAAAAAGAAAAAAATTAATTTATAAAAGAAAAAAAACCTGTAAATAGATCAAGGTCTGATTTTTGACCTCTAGGCGTGTCCTCCAGTCAAGCCCAATGGGGTGCCACGCTCTGGCCCCAGAGTCTATCCTTTGCACTACCTCGGGAGCTCTCTGCTCTGTTCCCCCTATTGCTCTGCCGCATGCCTTTAGTGTTTTGCTTCAGTGTTGCAGGATCAGTTCTGGCCAATCCCGACACTGAGTCTCCAGTGTTGTCCCCCAAAGGGCTAGGGGTCAGCGAGGGATGTCGTTTCTCATCGTGGGATCAGTCATATGGTCCACTCTGTGCGTTGACTGTTCGGAGCAGGGATATCGTCCTACAGGCCTAGTAGGCCAGGATGTGCTCCACTCTCTCTTCCTCCCCATTCATTTGCTCCTGTGTGCTCTGATCAGACATGTCCCTCTCCGCTAACTACACATCAACCTCTTATGAGGCTGCCCTGGGTGGATTTGAACCTTGAACCTCAGGTTTAGTAGCCCAGGGCTTACCCATTTCCATCACCTAGGGACACCTAGATGGTTATTTTTCAGTGCCTAGATAGTGAGCTTCAAATCTCGGTACCTTTTGTAAATCGTGTGCAGATTTGTTGATTGTTTGAAAGCAACCACGCACACTTCTTTTCCTTTCAATCATGTGTACATTCCCCTTTTAATATAAAATAACTGCAAATAAATATTTGGGCAAAACTTATACCAACATTCATGCAGGGAAAGTTTCACAGAGAAGAGGCATGAACTCATCCCTCTACCAGCATATGAGTTATTTTAGAGGCCAGAAATGGCCACAGTAGACAATTCATGTGGTTATATATATATGTATATGTATAGCTATATACATAATGGATCAAATATTGCCCTGTTCCTAGTAATGAATATCAATATCTTGTCTCTTCTAGACAGACTGTCAACAGCATCAGATATTTTTAAATACAGTTTTGAAACCACATCTGCAAACTCAATTATTTTGAATCTCATCTGAAGCAATTAAAAAGCATCCTGACATTTAAGGTGATATTTTTCCCCCAGGTAAAATAGGTATAAATAATACTAATTATGAACAAATAATTCAGTTACTCTCAGTCAGGTTCAACCTTTAGGTTAATAAACCAATCCATTAAAATTCATCTTGCTCAAAAGACCAATTTGTTAAAAAAATGTAGCGACCTTTCAGCACAAGTATGATTGATATTTTCTTTAACAATAATCAGAGCTGCCTTCCCAGAAGAGAGTGTGGTCAGATTGTAGGTCTAGAAAGCTAATCCTTGTGTGCCTCTCTCTGTACTACTTCTTAGCGAGGCAACAAGGTGATGGACGAGGGGATGCTGTGCACAAGCCTCATCCTAATTCCAAAAGGGGCCTTGAAGAGGTGTCCGGAAGAGTTTGGCTAACGGAACGCAATACTGCTGTGGCAAAATCACTCTTCATCGTAGAGATTTGAGGTTCTTCTTTCTGGTGTTTTGTTGTCAATGAAGGTGTAAAGCTTGGGTTAAAAAACTATGGCTCAGAGCTGCAACCTAGTTTTATAAATAAAGTTTTATTGGAACAAAGCCACATCCATTCACTTGCATGTTATGTAGAGCTGATTACCTGCTACACTGGCAGAGTTGAGGCAAAACGATAGAGAGCTCATGCCTTCCAGACTTAAAATATTTACTACCTGACCTGTTACAGAAGAAGTTTACCCACCCCTGGAGTTGGGTAGTAAGAAAAATACATAGTCATTTTTTGAATTAACAGCAGCAGCTAGTGTTTGAGTAATACTTCAGCATTTATCAAGTCTGATATTATTTTGTAAAGGGTACTATTATCCTCTCTGAACTGACAAAGACATTGCAATATTACCAAGGCCATTGAGCCATTAGTAGTGGTAGTGGCAGGGGGCCGCTGAAGAGGGACTAACACCACCATGACAGCCACCTTAGGAGAAACGGGGTGGGACACTGCCCTCAAACTGCACGTCCTCACAAACAGCACTCGTGGGTGTGCGTGGCCGCTGCCTCTTTTACATACCCAGATGAGCTCTTTACCAAAAGAAGAAATAAAACCTTAACAATTCGGTCCCCTATTTATCTGACCTTGGTCTGCATGGTTATAATCTTATTCTGCTACTAAATCTCCATTCTCATAACCAGAAGAATCATAATGCACAGAAAGGAGAGAAAAATGCTTTGCAGTCAAACATAGCTAAGCACTATTGTGCTGACTCTCGCTTATCCATCCTGAAGGATCGTGTCCACGCTGTGGCTTGGGTGTCCTGGAAGAGGAGGATCGTAAGCGTCATTGCATTGGGAATGGGCTGTCTTCCACATTTTTCACTTTTTAAAACTACAAATTCCCTCTCAGTTACATTAATATCAATATTGGACATTATTCCCTGCAAGAGCATGTAATCTCCTTGTAAAAATGGGCCACAGGGAGCTGAATATCAGTAGAAAGGAAAACCTTGCTTTGAGATCCATAAATATAAATTTATTTTATAAATATAAAATAACCGCTGTTTGTAGAGATCAAAAGTTTTCCTAATCTTATATTTTCTTAGTAAGGGAATGAGGATTAAATTGAAAGAGATGAAAATAAGAAAAGCCTATGCTGACACTTTCTTGAAAATTACAAACCCAAGATAAGTTATTTTAAACAGCTGAGGGGATCCCAATTTTCCATCAAGGCAACATTCACTTTGAGTGTTTGTGATATACCAAACATGAGCAACAATGGAAAGAGTATCACATTAAATAGGATTCATATTGAGTAGAGAAAGAAACATGTGGATAGATGTCTATAATGCACATGATAAGAGAGTTATGGGATGGAGTACAGATAAAATCTGTAGGAGTATGAGAGGAGGTCATTCCTTCTTATTGGATAATCACAACAATATTGTGGAGGAAATGGC